CCCCAAAACCCCAAAACCCCTTGGATATATAATTTAGTTAATAGATGAAAAAGAAATAATAATAAATAATTAATTAAATCTAATATCTTTATAATATATTTATAAGATAGAGACTAATAATTATTATATTATTATAAAACTAATGGAATAACTAGACGGTTAATAGGAACAAGTATACTTTATCTATAATACAGCAATCCTTATTTTATACTCAGTCCCTGCTATCTTTATATTCTTGAAGACCAAAGCCAAGTTGGAGAAATCAGTAGTAATTAACATCATATTATTCATAATAAGCTTTTCTCTTAAATTCTTGACTTGGCTTTTGAATTATTTACTAGTAAAGAATGATACCAAGCTACAAGGGATTTAACTCGTTACATTTAGTGCTTCTTTCTTGATTGAATTAAGTCTATATCACTTTATTTTTGAAATGATGGGTGTTTATGTTGCTCTTTAAAGCGCTACACATGAAGAATATTTAAGAGGTAATATTATGACAAAGAGCTGGAGGAAATTAGCTATCTGTATATAGATATTTGTATTTCTGGTTTCATCAATGTTCCAAATTAGATTTCTCTTCTTTGATGCTATGAAGGAATCATTGATTGACAATCCTGTTGGGTATATGGACTAGCTCTTTAAGATATTAAGAATGATCGTGGACATAAATATGTGCTACTTATTCTGCAAGCTTGCTCTTTTTTTCATGTCTAGAAAGAAGGAAATACTGGCAAAAGCAGGCAGAAAATTCAGTCTCTTCAACTATTTTATTGTTGCCTATGTATTACTTCTGATCATAGTAAATATCTATGCCTTCACTATGAAAACATTTATGTATCAAATTCAAAGATAAATAGTGACTGGTGATAGTATTGGCATATTTTCAACATTCGATGTCTACCAAGCATTGATCTTTTCAACGGTTGACTTCTTCACAGCCTTTGGAATACTCTATGTGTTTTATCTCTAGAGTGTAAAAAATTAAAATAAAGAAACATCTGATTAAGGCTTAGATTAAACTCCAGATGAATTTCAAAGACCGAACTATAAAACCAAGGACGTCTAAAATCTGCTATACGCTCAATCAACCTCTATTAATATTGATGATTCAGATAATAGAGGGAAATCAAGCTCAAATGGCTCAAATTAATCTAAATTATCTTAATTCGCAAAGTCATAGGGCTCTTCATATTAAAATTCCCAAAGATAAAAGGGTGTTTCTTAGTATACAAATAAAATGAGTAGTCCAGATTCAGAATCTTCTTAGTTTTAGCAATTTTTAATGAATCAAATGATGGATGATAGCAAGGGTAACTTTAATTATCAGAGATTTAAGGAAAGTATTTTTGACATTTGACCTGTTGGCTGTTGTCATCAATTTTATAAATAAGATTCAGCGATATTTAACTAATTAAGCTTTTTACTTTAAATACTTTAGACATCATATTTGACTCCAGGGGTTTTGGGGTTTTGGGGTTTTGGGG